GATTTAAAAATAGTTACGCAAAACAGAGCGTGCCCACTCCCACTGGCTTTAAAGGGTTAAAGTAGTTACATCAAGGGCCTCCCAACACAGGGAGGTGTAGCCCATCAGTGTCTGTTACTGAGCTGCACCTCCCAACCCCGTCTGTTGTTGGTGTCTTTGGAGCACATTTAGTGTATTATCTGACTAAAATTATGGTTTTATGGTTTGTACCACACATTATGGCTGTGTAGCACAAACCAAGCAAGGAGATTGGCTTTAGTTAGTAAAACTGTACTATTTAATTATTCTCTGCCCTAGCATTAAGTAGCAGAATCTGTGTTTGTAGCCTCGTGTGGCAGAAGTGTGGTGCCTGGCTCAGCTGCAGGGGAGGAGTGGGGCAGTGAGCTCAAGGGGGCAGTGCCAAGAGGCTGGAGGGACAGGTGGCGGTGATTTACTTAAGGTTTCTCCCTTTATATATAGTGAAGCCAGAGACCTGGGGGAGAGTGTGTGCTGACGACTGACGGAAAAGTTGAACTGTGTGGTGAAACGTACAGCCACGTGTGTGGTGCTTCAACAAACAGCTCGCAAGCATACAACACGTGTCGGGTCAGTCTTTACACCCAGCATTGGTCAAAACAGAAAGGTCAAGGTTTTAAAATGAATCCAACAGCTGAATTATTTTTAGTCTGGATTATTTGAATTCTGTATTTTGGGCTTTATTGTATTGATGTATATCTAAGCAGCTGAACTACTGAACCTGTGTTTGGCAAGCATGAACATGTGGGTCAGAAAAAGTACGACGGCGTTCCTCAGGTGGATGAAAAAATAAATAAGTTTAAATCTTTCCACAAGCAGGATGAGCCTGTTCTGTTTGCATGAAAGAGGCTTCAGTCGTTCTCCAGCAGCGTCAAAGGCGACAGAGGAATTAATCTTACTGGGATGAAACACCCATCAGTCATTTCAGGGATGGGGATGGAGGTATAAATGTAGACTTTTTCACAAGTAATTCTTTTTTTTGTTTTAGAGCTTCTGGGAAAATCAGGCTGGTGCTACTGTGTAGACTTAAGCTGAAAATCACTGGTTTGTTAAAACAGTGTCGCTGTTTCAACACTTTATTTAAATGTGTCCTTGATTTCTTCCTTAGAGGACACCAATGGAAGATCGTTATGAATCACCTCTAGCTGAGTGTTAAGACTTTAAATAAAACTTTGAAAATCATGGAGGCTCTAATCCAAGGGCATCATTGGCACATCTACATGTTTTACTCTGAAGTCTTGCTCATTATAAAACTTATGACAGATTGAATGATGAGCCACAGTCTAACATACCTTTCCCAGAAGGTTGCGGGAGAACAAACCCAGGCAACAGGAAGGGGGCACCGGTTGTCAAGCCAGCAGGCTTCAACTCCGTCACCCCATACGTGCACAGACAGGTGACCAGGTTGACCAGGTCCTTCAAAGCATCTTTTGATTCGTCCTCCTTGGCCTGTTCCAGTCTGGATGCACAAGAAGAAGTTACATCAATCTTCACACAACGTAAAGTAAATAAGGTCTCAGTCACACACATCCAAATCCCTGAATGGTTGCCAAGTGGTTGCTGGGGGTTGCTAGGTGAAACAGGGCGCAAAAGCCTTGTGAATGCTGTGTTTGGTAGCAGACTGCACATTCATGAGTGTAGGACGACAAGTTGTTGGTGTCTTCCATGCAAACTATGGGCAACTGTAGCAATTTGCTAGCAAACGAAGAAGTCACGGGGACGGTTTCTGTCCAGCACCCTCTGTGCAACCGATTTCAAATAGCAACCTCCAGCTGCCACTTTTGCACTTTTGGGTAATTCATATTTTATGTGTAGTAACCAGCGGTCACCGATCGCTCTAGGTAGCTTTAAAAACCTGTGATGAACTGTAGGAAGCAAGACCTAAGCTGTACCTGAGCATGAGGTCGCAGAGGAAGGTGTAACCCTGGCACATTCGGAAATCGTCCAGCAGGGTCTGCGACACGTCGCTGGAGTCTTTGAGGAAGCAGGAGAGGCCGGCGAACATCTCAACGATCTCCAGAGGGGAGAGATCGTCTGACTGCTGCATGTTTTGAACACATGTAGCCAAGCATTCCTTCTCTGTAAACCGAAGAGGGGGTGTTAGAGACAAAGAAATGTAAGGAATTTCTGTGACAGAATGTATGGGAATTATTAAGGACATAAAGAGCTTTCCCTTGATCTTAGATTTATAGGAAGTGAAACAAAAATGCATCAGATGGACAAAGAAACAGCTTCAGACAGACCTGTGCTGCTTTAACAGCTTTTTTTATGCTATAAAGACAAAAGCTTCAAGGTTTTTCTTCTTTAACTTAAAATAAACAATACACAATAATAACAGGGACAACCGAGCTTAAATAATAAATCACATTAAAAATAATGGTTTTACTAAGTGTCACATAAATCACTGCACAAATCTCACAACAAGTTGTAATTAGGGGCTGTGAACTGTAAATTATCTGTTTTAAAAATGGTAGAAAACAAACTTCCCTGTTTTGTTCAGCAGTATTCTCACAATCTGTTTTTTGTTATTAAGCTGTAGACTTTTGTGTGTGGACTGGTTCACATTTTCTAATAATTCAGAGCAAAAATGCACCTCCAGATGTGGAAGACGGTTACTTCCAGAAACAGATGTCCTTTGCGGACGGTGCGTTTGTACGTACCGTGGATGTATTTGACCACGTTGACGCTGAGGCCGTGTCGGGAGATGGTGGTGAGCACCTCGCCGGCACTCCTCCTCCAGGGCAGGTTGTGAGGGGGACACCAGGAGGTGATGGCACTAAACAGTAACTGCAGGTCATCCTTCTGGGCCAGCTCCTCCGCTGGAGACACAAATGTGCAGAGCTTCACCAGGATCTGCACGAGTGGAAACGAAATTATTATTATTTTTTAAGTTCTGGGTAAAAACAACAAAATAAGCTGCTGAAAAAACAACTCAAGCCCGAGTCTTTTGTCACGGAGATACGACTGTGTTTGTGACGCTGTTTGATGAAAAGATTCAGGATTAAAGTCTTTATGAGTCTTTTTATCAGTGAACAAATAGATTTAAAATATCAAAATAAGCCAATAACCGTGTTATAATCCTCTGATCTGCTACAGACGCTCCACGCAGACTTTTTTCGCTCCACAATTCAAACACAAACATTTTTAACGACGTTTAAATGCTTCAGTTATTCTTTGTGTGAAGGTTTTAAACATAAAGCAAGCTGATAGAGGCTCTTAGTCTGGAGTGTAACAGCTGACACTGTTGTCTTTTCACCTGGACAAAGACTTTCTGGAGGAGCGCCCTACGGTCAGCCAGGGGCAGCTCGGGTTGGGTGTGCCCTTGCCCTGGCGTCTTCTCTTGGCTGGGCGGTGGCGGTGGTGGTGGTTGTGGCGGTTGTGACGTGGGGCCTACGGGTGCCTCGGCCATGTGGGGCAGGTCAAAGAACAAGTAGAGACATTTGACGAGAGTGGAGGGCACAGACATGGTCGTCATGCAGTCCACAGTTTTCTGTCGAGGGGCAGAGAAAAGGGGATAACGTTTTATTTCCCAACACAGTTCAGGAATACA